AATATTAGAGAAAAAATTGTTGCACATATTGTGGATAATTTGCTGTGCCAATACTATTTTGCCGGCAGTGTATGTATGTAGAACAATAAAGTGAAATAATGGAAAGCACTTAACGGTATATACGTATGTAAGTGCATTATAAAGATAATTATTGTCAACTGTTTATATGTTAATGATTATAGGTACTCCTCCGGATTGTAAATTGATTAGGGGTCTTCCCTTAAGCTCGTAAAAGCTCGTAAATAAAAAAACTGTCAAAATTTGTATGGAACTCTATTTACGAGCAACTGGTAAAATTACGAGGCAAATTTGATGCGCAAATGACCTCGTAAACTTCAGTGTTGCCGAGGGGCCGAAATTTTTATACTAAAAGATATGACAAAATAATGAAAATAAATTTAAAAAATATTAAGCTAATAACATGAATAAATTTCATCCACCAACTGTATAGACTTAGATTTTCTGCGAATTTTCGGCATTTTTTTTTTGTATTTCAGCCAAGAGTGATAGAGACAAGATGGCGGAATGTTATGGAAAATACTACGAAACATAAATTGTTTCACAAAATCCTGGTTGATCTGTCAAACTGTTACTTGACGCACCTATTTACACCTTTTCACGAAGGGGGCGTTCCCATAAAAGCTTCGTAAACTTACGAGTTTTACACCGTTTAGGACTTTACGAGTTTAAGGAAATACCCCAATTCTATTTAATGTACAGTTAAAAGCTCCCTCACTTTTTCAGTTCGTCCCCAACCGGTTGCCTGACAGACGGTACCTGCCGCTACCGGCGTTCTAGCTCTTTCGATTGTTTCTATAGTAGGATGCCGCTCAGGCACAGAGGCATTTAGAAACACTACCGCAATATCATTCTCATATGTGGATGCATTGAAATCATCTATGCCGAAAACGATTCGCGCAATATCGAAGTGTAGCGTATTTTCCGTACGCAGAAAACGGTCCAAAGTACCCGCAACAACGACAAAGTCAGCGGCAGGACGATAGGAGCCATTATTGATCTCTTGACTAAGGGAATAATGAAAAACGAATAAAAGTGTTTTCAAAACTAATTAATATCAATTCAAATTGCACACTTCAAAATCTCACTCACTTCACAAAACAATGCGCCGCTGATAGCACCACATTCGGTTCAATTAATGAACCACCACAAATGTGTCCAGCACCAAAGTAAAATTGATCGCCACTACGCCTTCTGATCGACACCTGATGTTTGGTGGCGTCTAAGCTGGCCAAGGTGCCATTGATAATGCGACCGCCAAGTTCTTTATCGCCATTAGCACTTGAAGCGCCGGCTATATGGAAAAATAACTGTAACTATGCAAACACTAGCAGTCAATAATTTAGAAGCACTTCACGCACCTGCGCTGTGTATGGCAAATGTGACGCAAAATAAAATCACTATGCTCGTCCAATGCCAAAACGCCATCCTTCAGCAGCTCAATTGCCCTGCTTATCAGATAATTTTTCAATTCTAATTCGATGGAGCGATGTAACTTTTTCGTTCGATTAAAAGCATTCGTCCGTACAGCGCGATGTTAAACAAATTAATGATAGCCAATTCGATGCAAATAAATTAGTTTAAAGAAAACCCACAAACTTTACGAGCGATTATCTAATCTCAGCGACGTAACTTTTCGAGATATCATATGCATATACAGTTACTCTCGTAATCGATCACTTGTTGTCGGTACTCAATAAAAAAAAAAACTATTTTCATATAATGTGCCTGAAAAAGTAGATGTCTAAAACTACATAGTAGTACACTAGGTTCAAACATAAAAAATTCATATCTAACTCGAAAGACGTGGAGCCAATTCGCTCATGTTGGGATAGACATAGCCTCCAGTGTGGATACTTACATATATGCAAACCGTGGGACCACATCGCACGTTCAATACGTGTCGCCACCAAAGAAGTAGTCGGATTTCCGCGAGCCCGAAAGAACAACTGTTAAGACGAGGAAATGTTGCGCTGTTGCAGAGAGGACGACCGCAACGGAAGAGGGATTTATTTTCCGCAATACAAAAGAGACACCGAAATGTGTGAGTGCGAATAGCTTGAAATGCTGTCCGGCATAAAAAGCGCAGGAAATTTGTGCCAGAAAGTTAAGAAACTTACGGATGGATTCAAGACTGGGGACCTAGTAACCAATGACAACACAATACTTAATTAATTCGGGGGTGTTTCTTTGGGACCCCTGCACAAACTACTCTTCCCGTTGAACTGCCATTCAAGGTACTAACATCACGGGTTGGTTGGCCCACAAGATATTTTATGACGATTACTTAGATGCTTATCTCGTCTGAAATCGCCATGGATGCATGTGACTTGAACACATATCTTCTGCTAGTACTCGATTTACGTTTACACATAATCTAGTTGTCGCTGCCCTGGGACGTTGCGGGGGCAAAAGAATATTATGTGTTGCGCGCTTTCCCTCATTCCTATGCTTCTAGGACAATACAAAACTGGGTTAAGTAAAAACTGAGTCCTATTAAGTGATTTTTCAACGCTGGGGATGGTGGACTAGGACCACCATTATTAGGCATAATTTTTGCAGGTAAGCTTGAACATTTGAAGCCTTTTTCAAAGCACACTCGAGGTGGTACTTAAAGTTAAGTCGACCAAAAATTATAAAACACAGACACGTAATTGCGGGCTTAGATGTAGCGGATTCTGAACGAACACTAAAAGTTTGTGTTTCTACAGCTTTCCGGCTGCTTATTGGAATTCCTCTGTTTTATGATTCGCGAGGATTAAATTTCTAGACGATAGCCACTCTTTTACACTTTTTATAGTCTCACTAACTTTACTCTCAGTCTCCTGAATATATTTCGTTACACCCACCACGGTGATATCATCTGCGAATATAAGTCGGGGAACAGATCCCTGAGGCACCTCCGCCACGGCCCTACATTCCTCAAAGCCACGTCTGTGGACGACTGAGATTTTCTGAAGCCAAACTGGTAAAAAACCTTTATCTTCTGCGATCGCCGTGAGTCTTTTGCAGATAATTTTGTCAACGATTTCCCCTAATGTGTCCAGTAGGCATAAAGGACGGTAAGACGAAGACTCTCCCGGCGGTTTACTCCCCTTTGCTAACAATACTCTTCATTGATAAATAAATTCAAATTTAATATTTGTGCAGCTAGCCTCATTTCCTAATTTTTTATCAGAGACGTGAACCGGATGAAAAATTTGGTCGAATTTCATTAAAAGCGGATAACATTTCGATTCGATTCCCAAGTGTGGTAGCCGTGGAAATTTTCATATTTCATTATTTCTCAGCAATATGAACAAATTTGTATATACATATGTATATATTTATAGTATGATCAAAAGTGAGCGGCACTGTATTTGATTAAAAAACTAAGTACTTCAACATGGTTGTCTTGGATTCATTTCCCTGTAATTGAGTAGTTCGCTGAAAAACGACCTTCAAGAATATGTGGGATTCCCTATCGTTGTTTAGACGTCAACTAAATATATTATCTAGTCTTTATTTATGTATCTTTATGTGATATATGTTTATAGATCGGTTCGACTCAAATGCAGAATGGGGCTGTAAAAACACTCCTGCTTTCTTAGACTGGAGTATACGAACACGCCTGTCCATAAATTTTCCAAACTATTAAACCCAGGTTAATTATATCCCGATCTTCATTTGCATACAAATTTACGATCATTTGCACTAATGTACTTAAAGGTTGCTTTCCGCTGTCGAGGAGCCGCAGTTATTGAGAAAATTTGTTTATATACCTTTATTTCGCTTCTACCATTCTTCGAAGACCGTAACGACAGATGAATCAACAGGTGATGTTTCACCCCTGTTTTACTTTCCACCGTCCTAATATATAGCGCGCATAGGTCTTGATGTGAACCCAGCTAAAACTAAGCCAGTCCTTTTAACTAAACAGTACAAACTCATAGACTTACTGCCAGGTATACCAGGTATGTATCCATCTAAGTGAAATTCTCGACAGTAGACTACTCTGGAATGACAACACAATGGAAGGTATTAAGAAAACCACAACAGCGCCTTTCACCTGTAAAAAGCCGATTGGTGTAACAAGGGGTATGCTCACGAAAGCTGCGACACCCTAGTAGAAAGTGTTGAAATGATTCCACCTCATCATCCTCGAGAGACAACTGCGATACTAACGATCGGATCTAATTTTTAGTCTTAAGATGCGTAAGCGCACATTTGACAGCCTGGATCGGGGCTGTACATGAAGGACTCGGAAATTGCGCACATCCTATTTTCGATGACCTGGCTACCTATCTGTCCAAGATTAAGTCACAGATGAACGGTGGCGCTCCCTCCCGCTCTCTACCCGTTGATATCGTGCCAACTCATCAGCCAAACAAGATCAACAAGGGTACAAATTACAATGACCAATTTTGGGCGCAACATCACTGATCGCAGGGCCCACATTGCCGTTTGGCTGTCAGATAAGTTGCTTACATCTCTTGTTTACTTCACACTCTTGAACAGTATGTCTTTAATGACAGCCAATTCTGCTTAAACAGGATGCTGATGAAGTGCTAATGGCAACCGCTCAAACAAGCTTCTATACAACCATGAAAAAGTACTTTTCTTCTTCACTCCAGCCACATCGCCCCCACCCAGTCATTGGTTAAAGGAAAGTTTGTAGCCATTTTAGAGACGAAGTTATTGGTGTAATCAGGCAGGCAACCGAAACTTTTAGGCATTTCAAAGCATCTAAACGCTGATCTTATAAGCCATCCCGTTTTCCTGAGCCTGATTGTAGTGTGTAATTCGGTATTGTTGCCTGCAGGCGCTGGAGTGTGTGTAGCTTTCTCTAGGGAACCCCAATGGCAGCTTTCCACGATAGCTTCTTATTTAGGATCAGCAAGTTATTTACGACCACTTTTCAGAGTATAGGTCCTTATGAATGTTCTTATATCTTAATACGTCTATATATACATACACACATCAGTTTTGTTTTAAACAAAATTTTATCTATTCATAAATAAAGTCCCAAATACAGTGAGAAACACAATAACACCCGAAATATGGCTGGCGCTTGGTGCACCATTAAGATGTGACTCTATCCAATTCGACCAGTAGGAAACATTTGTGTAAACGCCTGGTAGTAGCGGTTCAGCACAACCAATACCCCACGACACAATGCCAGCCAATTCTCGGTTACAAACAAGTGGACCACCAGAATCACCGCCGCAGGCATCCCGCTCGCCCTCCGAATAGCCAGCGCATAACATACCTTCACGAATCAAGCCCGCGCCGAAACTCATGTTGTTCGCACAAACATTGAAGTCTACGATGGGCACATCCACCGTCATCAAATAGTCGGACAAGTAACCCTGAGAATTGATAATGAAATTTACAATAAAGCGAGAAAAATGAGTTATTGGTAACTTACATCTTCAGTTTGACCCCAACCAGTCACCTGACAAACAGTGCCCGTAGCCACTGATCGATTAGTTATGTCAATTGTCTGAGCTCTAGTGTAGTTCGCTGGTACTGAGTCATTCAGGAACACCAAAGCAATGTCGGACTCATAGGTGGTTAAATTAAAAACGCTTATATTTAAAATGATTTCCTTCACTTCAAAAACAAGTGTATAGTTGTTGCGCTCGTAGCGATCCAAATTGCCCATAACCACAATGAAATCCGTTTCTGGACGGAACGTGCCATTGTTGATATCATAACTGTGCAATGGAAAGGTAGAACACACATTTTTTTTTATAACTTTACTTATTTAACTTACTTGACAAAGCAATGCGCTGCCGTCAGCACTACGTCGGATCTAATCAACGAACCACCACAGAGGTGACCTGTGCCAAAAAAGTAACCATCATTGCGCTTTGATCGTATTGAGACCTGATGTTGCGTGGCATTGAATTGTGCCAAGGTGCCATTGATAATGCGACCATTGTGTTCATAGGAGACTTGGTGATCGCTTGGTTCTGCCGCTGATTGCAAAATTATTTATTAAATAATAGCACTAGTTTTCTTTTTTGATGATATCACCGTGCGACAGTAAATTTTACACACAAAAAATTAAAATATTCGCGAAACTATGGTTAAATTATAGTAAGACTGCGTACTTATAGCGTTTGCTTTTCTCGAAATAATGTTGCATTTATTTTTAAAAAATATAAATATTTTAAAAAATTATTTAAAAAATTCAGTGCATTGTAGGATAAAAATAAAGGTATCATATAAAAGAAAACACTTTTGTAGGATTATAATGAAATAAATTTTTTGGTGCATAAGGACGAATGGGTATGGAAAATATCCCTTACAATTTTTGTCCTTAAATATCCTTGAAAATTTGATTTTTTTTTTGAAATTTTATTGTTTGAGGACTAATATACGCACGGCCTCATCATCGAATTTCATCCTGCAAACTTTATTAACTTACAAAGATAAAATTTTTTGAAAGCGCATTTTCAATACGTCCTTTTAAATCAAAAAACTTTATTGTTCTTAAATTCTACAGAATTTTCTCTCTCATTTGGTACTCACATTTTTGTTCTACATTGCACTGATTTTATAAAATGTTTTTTTAATTAATCATATCTTTAAATTTTCAAAACATTCTGAGGTCAGAGTGAAAAACTAAAAGCGCAGTTTTACTATATTTGGCCCATAGTTTCGTGAGTATTTATATCGATTCTTTCGCGTGTTTTAAATTTTTTTTGTTTCTGTCGCACGGTGTACACATATTTTCAAAAAAAAACAAAAACTCACATGTCAACTGTACAAGCACTAAGGTACATAAAGTAAGCAAAATTATAAAATTCCTGAACATATTCGAAACTGAAAATTCCCCAAATTTTGCGATAGTATGTACTTAAATCTATTCTTCCCTCTTCGACAATACCTTCTTGTTCAGGTGTGTACCACAAGAAGTTATAAAATGAAATGCCTTCAAGGCTCGGGAAAAACGTGTTATTTGGTTTCGGGGAAAAGCCCCAGTGTATGTATATTTTAATCTAATCAAAAATATTAATTTCTGTTTATGGCACGACAGATTTTAACCGATATCGCGCGTTTTATTTGACATATCAATATTGGCTGTTTATGCTTTTTTGCTTTCAATGTTAATACACAAATCAATTTCAATACGAGTATATGCTTTTGTTAATATGTTTGCGTACAATGCCGGATCGCCAGAGAGGAGGGGTATTTTGAGGGCTGGAGCCCCGCGATGATGGTCCTACTTTGCACATTTTTAATACCAACTTACCTGGTAACATCATAGTTTAGAAGAGTAACTGAGTGTACGAACGCACAGTAGGACGGTCCAAAATTATATTTTCCAAACACCCCCAGAACTGAAGATTATCGAAAATAAGGAGACTCGTATTTTTTACTTTGAAATTGGTTAACATTTAAATGATGATGTAGTTTTTAGTTAGATACGGAAGTAACAGAACAAGAGAGAATGCGACCTGAAAGATATTTTGTATCTCTTAAAGAAATAGTTGCGAATTCTTTGTAATAAAGGGTCCGATCATTGAAGCTTTGAAATGGATACATCTTTATGTGGCCAAAGCCGGACAGTGACAGTGAATATGCTCTATGGTCACACCTATTCGGTGCAAGTGGAATCGCAATCGGTTGTGACCAGTCACGTCCTTTCTGTTGAAATGGTAGCCAAAGAGTCTGGCCTATCTATGGCTTCCCACCGCTCCCCAGTGCTAACTGCGTCTATAGTGTACCCACTCTTCGCGAACCAACGATCCTTCTCGCGCCAACTCGTCGGCGACCTCATTGCCTTCGATTCCGCAATGGCCTGGTAGCCAGGACAGTGTTACCGTGTTTTTGGCTGCCAAAATTTGTAACGTGTCAAAGCAGTGTCTTACCAGTTTGGATTACAAATGGATGGACCATTTGCCCATGGAAATTAAAAGTTTGGTGCAAAAATACCTGCACCTGCTTGGTCCGCCATCCATGAACCGTCTGTGTACCAGTATACGTATCTAGGATCAAGGGTGCCCATTTGCCAAATTTTCGCGATCGGGGATTATAACTTGGAACTTTCTGCCAAAGCAGATCTCTTTAATCATGGAATCAAAGACTTTTCGGTAGCGTTTTCTCTTTTCCATTTTCTATAATTCTGGGTGTTGCAGCCGGTAAACTGCAATATGTTGATTTTTTTGTGTATTTTTGGAACACCATAATATATATATATATATAGGTTGTAAAACTGCGCCTAACCACACATCACGAAACCCCTCCGTTTAAGTGTTTTCTGCCTCCTTCCATGTACAAATATTAGGGTACTGAAGTATGTATGTGTGTACTTACTATTTACTTAGAAGCTGACAATAGTTTATCACTTTCAAATTATCTGCCAAATCAACAATTAATCAATGAAGTATACGCATACTAACGAAACATTAAAAAATATATATATATGTAATTAACTTTCCGCTATAAATAATAATTAAACGACTGTTTGATAAAAATACATACGTCAGTAACAAAAATGTCTATAAGCAGCATGAAAGATGACGTATCTGAAAATATTTGACTCTGATTCTCTTTATTTAGTCACTATGCGGCAAAACTCGAATACAAATACGGTATTTCTCACTTATAAATTTCTGCTTACAGGCACTAGAAAAAGTGTAAAAAAATTCCCTATTTTATTAACACAAACAAAGCTGTTTTAAAACATGAAACCATCTAATAGTACGTGTCCTCTTTCATATGGATGTGGCAATATAGAGGGCGCAGGCAGCAACGCCTACTTCCAGCGGGCAAGGCATTCGAGTCTATGAAGTAGTCCAGATCCTAAAGGTAGTTTGATCTATTTAATCCTTCCAAACCTATAAATCTTCGTATCCGGACGGAATCATAAAGGACAATCGCCATAATAAATCCGCGGCTAAAGACCATTTATGTATAGGGCGGTCTCCTCCTTAGCCGTCAACTGTGTGGGTTTAGGACTCGCAAACCCACCATAGACGAGGTATTCACAATACGTCAAATCTTGGGAAAAGATCCGCGAGAAAAGGATCGATACTCACCATCTATTTAAGGAAGCATAGAGAATGGGTCTGGTGGTAAACGAGGACAAGACGAAGTATCTCCTGTCATCAAACGAACAGTCAGCACATTCGCACCTTGGAACCCACGTCACTGTTGATAGTTATAACTTCGAGAAAGTGGAGGATTTCGTTTACTTGGCAACCAGCATTACCACCAATAATAATGTCAGCATGGAAGACCAACGCAGAATCACTCTTGCCCGCAAGTGCTACTTTGGACTGGTAAAGGCCTCTCTCGACGTACGAAAACCACACTCAATAAGTCACTCATCATGCCCGATTAGGCGGCTCTAGGCGTATTCGAGAAAAAGATTTTGCGGAAGATTAACGGACCTTAATGCGTTGGCGACGGCGGGTACCGCAGACGATGGAATGATGAGCTGGTATGAGATTTACAACGATATATTTAGACATAAAGCAGCGAATTAAAATACAGCGGGCTGGCTTAGCGATATCGTTCTTATGGACTCCGACGCTTCAGCTATGAAAGTATTCTACTCGGAACCCGCTGGTGGTAGCAGAGGAAGAAGCAGACCCCCGCTGCGATGGAAGCGCCGAATAAGTAGAAGATGAAACGATAACGAAATACCGATCTTCACAGATTACACCCAAATGGACATTGGAACAAAATTTCGCGTTTTCTATCAGAAGCCTTCGGTGTGAACAGCCAAGCTACCCTAATCCGTTAATCCGCAGTATTAGGGAAAGCGATTCAAAGCATACAATCGCATTACCGCACTGACTCTGGCCAACGCTCGATGAGCGAAGAAGAAGGATCAACAAACCGTGGACTTGGTATGTACATATCGCACAAATTTACGTGTTTGGAGATTTCAACACAGAATTAATAAACACTTGATAAGGAGAATGTGTTCGGCCTAACAGATTACAAAACTTCCGAAAAATGGCGCGTCTTTCCATTTGTCTTTTGGTGTACCAACCGTTTGAATTGATACAACTTTGATTGCGTTTTCCTACAAAAATTAAAATTTTGAAATTTATTATTAAACGCGCTATATGTAGGTCCGTTTTTTTCGATCTACATGCCATTATTGTGCAATCAAAAGATAACTAGCATCCGACAATGCTAAAACACATTTATGTATATGGAGCATTTCTCATCAAGCGGACAAGGAAAGGAAGGGTGATGCTTTAGAATTCCTTCATTTTTTGTAGCTGTACCAAAATGCAAAAAAAATTGGTCCAAGTTTCTCAAATTTTGTTTTTAAATTTTCACTTCCGATGTGGTATAACAAAAAAAAACTGGAAAATTGATTTCTCAAGTTAAGAAGCGACAAATTTTCTCACCAATTCGCGAAGTTTAAAAATTTGTTTAATTTTGTTTTTTCAATATGAAAAACCTAAATTTAATTTTTAGTATTCTTTGGAAGCTTATAGGTAACTCGAAAAGTAACCATCATATAAAGAAAAAAAATTTGCACACAGTTTCTTATTTCACACAGCTACAATTTTTCCCTGCCCGCTTGACGCGAAATGCCCCAAATACTTAATTTCAGACAACCAAAATGTACCTACTCGTTAAAGTAAAAAATGGTAGAATTAAAAAACATGCATTCATATGTATGTATAGTGTATATTTTATGATTCGCGAAAATCTGCAAGCAATTAAAATATAATAGCCAAACTTCGAGACAATTTGATAGAGAATGTCGGTTAAACATTAAAGCAAGGAGTGTATTAATAGCAACAATTCTATATACATATACATACATACATATGAACATGCATACATACTAGATAATTTATTTACTACTAATTGTCATCATTATCTGATTTCATCTTTATTGCCGTGTCAATTTGTTTACAAATTCAAATGACAACTTATATAAGTGTCAACAACAAAGCTTTATCACTAATCATTTACATACACATTAAATATGCAACACATTTGTAAACATAAATAGTGCATATGTATGTATGTGTGTATGTACGTAAAGGGTATTCCTCATTGATGTTTCTATCTAAATAATTGTGGTTTGACATTAGTGGTATTCTCTGAGTCTTGCAAAGCCCTTGCACGGTGCACCGATTGCACGGTTTACCGGTTTGCGAGAATCCCCCTATTATTCGCGCTCGAGGTCTGGACTGGTCATTACGCATCACTCCCTTGGGTAGAACTACATAAATAGTTTTACGCCTGAGCGATGTTGGCTCTTATGAACATTAGACCGTACCACCTTACAAATATACAAAAAAAGTTCGCCATACATCCTGAGTCTAAGGTATTTTTTGCAAGGCGATTTCGAATAAAAATGTTTTTGTCGAACCTAGAAATCGGCATTATAGATTTTTCGGTGACCCCGACATTCGACAATTTAAAAAAATTTAAATATTTCTACTGAAATAATCAACAAACTTCCTCAGCGAAGGTTTAATGAACTTTGGAGAGCTTTACTATATTGGGATTAGGGTGATAAAAACTGAGATCTGGTGGATAGATACTACAACGGGGTACTTGAGGTCAATGAATGGGAAACTGGCCGTAAGTCGGTGAGTCACGGACTAGCTTCGGGGTCGGTAAAGAAGAGTTGGATAAGGAAGGTCTCCTTTTCGCACCTTTCACGCTGGATACCTCATATACATATAAGAGGAAACATTGGACTGTTAAGTGGGGAGAGGGGAATGACTAGGCGGGAGCGTGATGGCCTCTGACGATTGTGCAGGTGGGTACGGAATGAGTGAGTCGCAAGAACCACCCCATAGTCCGTCGAGCTAGCTCTTACTTAAACACAAGCATACCCAGGCGGCTCTGTACGTGCGGGAAGAGGATGTGGGGGCAGAAATGGAGGCGTTCGTCTTGGCTGAGCGTTTTCACGCATATGGTAACAAATTTTAGACTTTTAGTCTTAACTTTTAAGATCGGTCACGCCCATATTGCAATATTGCAAGTGGCAACCCTTTTAAAAATAGTTTTCACGCTAAGCTTTCTTTAACCACTTTATCGTCGGTGATACTCTAAAACGGTCTAAGTCACTTATTAGCTATGGTGCTTAATTGATCTGTTATCTGTATCTTGTCGCTTCTGGCAATCGTTCATCTTCATCAGGCAAAGGTAGACAGTCTTGTCGTTCGTTTATTAGACAAAGAGACCATCTAAGTGTCAAGGGTACTAATAGACATAGACCGTTTTTCAGTATTACCGACGTTATTTTGATACTCGTATTGCAACATTTAATTTAGCT